TAATTCAATGGCAGACAATCTTACAAACGCAGTGTAAATAAACAATTGTTTATTGTCCATATTATTTTTGGGGTAAAATTTTGTATCATTGGAGATGATAATAACATTATGACACAAAACATCAAATTTGTTGTAATTTCAACAAATTGGTGTCTCTAGTGAAGTACTTGCTTTTATAAAAATGCAGCTTATTTATAAAAAAGGACGGCTTTCTTTGTAATCAAAATTTTTTTTTACTAAGGCCATGTTTTTAGAGATAACATTCGTAATAACGATTTGTTTTAGAAGTTATGTCTCAAAAGAGTCCGACAATGATTTTTTCAACGTTAAAGGCTTCGTATTTTCATGGAAATGATCGAATGAGGAAGTCGAAAATGTAAATTCTTGGTTCACAATTATTCCCACACTTGAAGACTTCATGAAATTTAGTCGTCGCACACTTAGTCGACTTGTCCATATTAGTTCGTTCAACTCTAATCTCGCTTTCTTGGTCCAATTTTGGTTGGACTTCATTCTCCACCAAAAGAAATACATGCTACATTTAATTTAAAAGCCTAATATAAGTTAGATAGTAATTTTATGAATAATTTAATAATTTATCTTTTATTTTAAGTGCAACTTTTGTTAAGAATGTTAGTTTTCTGAAGCCACTTGACACAATTCCTTATTTTATGGAAATTGATGGTGTGAATTTTGGTTCCCACAGAAAACAAATTAAAAAAGAGGTCATGAGGAACAAATTAAAAAAATATCATGCGGAAAAGACAAGGTAGAAAAGTCACGTGGAGAGTGAAGAAAATCAAGTGTTTTGGAAAAGAAATTTAAAAATCAAGTTATAAATGTTTCTAAGTTTTTTTTCCTTCATTCAGTTTCTCCATGCACATATGCAATAGTGTCTTTCGGTAATCTGTTATGACATATAGATATATATATATATATATATATATATGCACATATACAATACAATAATGGCTAAGTTATAAATCTAATTCTATTGTTTAAATAAAATGTGTTCATATGTTTTAGAATAAAAGAGTTTAAATGAGTTATTTTTTCGTAAAACAATATATATAAGATAAATTATTAAATTATTCATAAAATTACTATCTAACTTATATTAGGCTTTTAAATTAAATGTAGCATGTATTTCTTTTAAATTAAATTATTCATAAAATTACTATCTAACAAAATTCACACCATCAATTTCCATAAAATAAGGAAATTTAGGAAAATTCTAATTTTCCGAAGAACCGGATCTCTGCGAGAGCCAACGACAAGTAACCAAATAAATGCGGAAAATATGAATATCATGATAAAAAAAATTTATAAAGAAAGTCGATCTTATTTCGAATTCGCGTAAGAGCGTTGCGATCATTACAAGAGATTACAAAGGCTTTGGCCGCAGGGGCCCTCGGCGAGTTACCAACATAACACCCTAAACCTAGTCGAGCCGCAGCTCGATAACAAAAGACGAAAAAGATAAGAAAAGGAGAGTTTGATTGATTTCGGACTGAACCTTATGAAATGCTGTCTACGTATCCCTTTAAAGGATCAAGTCGAATGTAGTTCAATTAATAGAGCTGGACAATAGATCGAATTGCCTGGGCGAGTTCGTCTAGTAATTGAGTGCCAGTCATAGAAACCGAACTTGTCGAGAACACAAAACCTAGGTTTCTAAGTGCAGAGAATTCTAAGTCTAGAAAAGTTGCGAAAATCCTCGTCTTCTGTCCTTGGCCTTCTGCTTATATACTCCCTCCTTAGGCGGTTTAGTCTTTCCTTTTCGCCAAGATTCGAGTCTATTGGGAATCTTCCATTTATCTCGATCTTTCCATTTTTCTGCGGAAATTTCTATTTATCTTCAAACTTGACATTTATCTTCTTTCTACGAGTAAATCGTCAAACCGTCATTGTATCTTTGGGCTGGACTTCGTCAAAAACCTTGGATAGGTTTTTATCGCGTTTTAGGACTTTCTGAGCTGTTTTGTGATGAAAACTATTTTACGATTTTAGACGAGATCGTTTCCTGATACGATGCCGTTTTTATAAGATTTCTCGAGTTAACCGCATATTTTGACAATGTACGATGTTCCGTCTAATCGTTGCCGTTTTATACGATCTTCCCGAATTCTTACGAAAAAGAAGACTTTTATGATTTATATCGTAAAACTCGAATGGTAAGACGGATCGAGATGAAACGAGAGAGGTTTCAACCATGGTTCAGAGAACGATCAAATAGAAGGACGTATTCCTTACGTTGAGGATGTGGGGGAGCAAGGCCTAGGACGGTCAGCTCGCCGTACGGCGAGCTGGTTCGATCGAACCTGCTCGCGATTACGGTGGATGCGGTTTTGTGGTTTTTTGCTTAACTTGGGAAATCGTGTAATCGAAGATTGTTTCGTTCGGTTTCCGAGATGACAATTTCCAAGTTTCGCGCGGATTTCCTTTGTTCGGAAAGTCCTTAGAATTTTATAAAACAACTTCTCGTATTTTATAAAACGTATTTTTATTTTTGCGGAAGGTTTTGGTCATTGAATTTGTCTTACTGATTTTGACCCCAACAATTAGCCCCCCAGTTCGTAATAATCGTAGAGTTATTGCAGCGGTTTGAACTTGTTCGGAAAGTTTGGTAGAATTAGGCGGAACTTTAATGGCCAAAAGTCTAAAGGTGAATAGTAAAGCTTTTTAAAAAATAAATAAATTAGGGCTGCGCCTTGTGAAGGCTGCCTACGTACCCTATTGAAGGGATCAAGTCTTTCGTAGTTTGATGTGGAGTTAAGGTTCGTATGACCTGTTTCCCAGTGAGACTTTTACAGTCTAGTTATTTGTATTGGACCTTTGTCGGTCTTGAGACTAGCTTAGTACGCTGTTTGCTCTGGCCGAGTGTGGCCGTTATAGTTTTCGGACTGGCCGTGTGTGGCTTTGAGTCCCTGCCTCTTTGTGGCTTTATTATAAATAAGTTTGTGTTTTTAAGAGCGTGTTTTTATTCGTATGAATGTTGAGGGAAGAACATGAGTTGTCGTCTCATAGTCTAACTCCTTTTGTAGATCGCCATGTTCGTTTGCTCGTTTCGGAGTTTTTCGAAATTCGGTGAGCGTTTAGAACTGAATGAAGAGACATACCTTTAGGATCTCAATTCTGCCTTGTGACGTTAGAGACCACTGTGCTGGGTTTAGGGCAAGATCTAGGTTTACTTTCGAATTTAGGCTATGCGATGACTAGTCGGCTCTCGTTTTGCCTGTTGCGATTTTAACATGATTTTGTACCGATTTAAAGTCCGCGATAGGTTCTCGGCTTATACTTGTCTGGTAGGAATCGAGCATCTCACCGGGACAATTTTTAAGTCGCCCAGAAGAGCTGACCAAAAGTTTGGATTTCTTTTATAGCGCTATTACCCTTGTGTCGGGTGTATGAGAGCTATCTCTGCGAGATAACTTAAGTTTGTTTAGGACTGTTGCCGGTTTGTTTTGATCAGCAACAAACTTGGTGGTAGATGCTACCGTTGTTAGGGCCTTCGCGAAGGATTCGTATCTTGTGCGTATTTTATAGTCGCGGATAGACTGTTAGGTCTTCCAAGAAAATGACTTTATCGAGGAAGGCATTTTTGTCGAAAAACTGTCCTTGAGGCGTCTGCGACATCTCGCAATGCCGAAGATTGGTTTTTTATTTCATATGTCGCGTTTCGTGTTTGAAACGTTTGCGGGCTCGAAGATGTTGCGCGGTGTTGCAAGGGTTTTGTCTTAACCCTGCTTTGCATAAATACTTTGACTTGCTTGCGGACATTCGCAGCCAAAACTTATGTTCCTGTTTGGATGTTAAGTAGTTTGATTCATGCTAGAGCAGTTAGGACCGAGGGGTCGCGTAAATGTTTCTCGAAACAAAATGTCTTTAATTACAGTGCTTTGTGAAGTATTAGCCTTCCGAGATATTTTCATATATTTTAAGGATAACTCGTACGGCTTCAAGAGCTTTGTTACGAGTGTTTTCATACACGCTGGATTTTGTAGGCAAATCGCTTAGGAAATAGAGTGAATTGTGAGAATGTAAAATTTAGTCGATTTTCGACAAGTTTACATTGTCCGTTGAACGTTTTGGCTTGGAGTTAAGGTTGTATTCAGCCGCATAGCCAAGGACGAGTTGGTAAAGGATTAGACCTTGACACCTTCGTGCTATCAATAGGTCGAGTCAGGATGGCTTGTTTGACATCGAAGTGAAGCGTGATCGAAGAAGGATGGCTTGTTTGACATCTATAATGTCTAGAGATGGCAACTATGGACCTGGACCGCGGGACGGTATTGGGACGAGGTTTTCTTGCGGGCCTCGCGGGACGGGTCTTTGTGGGATTGGGTCTTTTGCGGGATGGGCCGAAATGGGTCATGCGGGATTACAAGGACCCATAATTTTTTCTTCATTTTTTGTTTTATCCGAAAAAATGAGAAATAGAGTGAGAAGAAGATCATTCATGTGACTTCCTTCAAGAAAACGTAAGGAGCTGCAGCGATGAGGATTCGACCTTCAGTGATGATGATTCGAGCTCCGACGAGGACGACTCCAGCTCTGGCGATGATGATTCGAGTTTTGACGGTCTTTTGATTTGGTTTTCTCTTTTTATTTAATTTTGGATTGGCAGTTTTGATTTAGTATTTTTTTTTTAAAAAAAATACTAAATCAACAAACTAAAACGTGGGTTATAAACTATTAGATAATGAAATATATCTTTTGCAATTATCTTTACATTGTATGTTAATATGTTTTGGGTGTGACAAAAATAACTACAATTTATAACCCTATATATATAATCATATCAAGAAGCTCAATTTATACATGCACTTGTTACAAGAACTTATCTCATTTTTAACATGCACTTTAAGTTTGATTATGATATAACAAATTCTTTTGAGTTTCAATAGTAGCTGCTTCATGATAAATTCATTTTGTGTGCTTAGGTATGTAGTGGAGCAGCCTTAATCATTATGGAATAGCCTCATACGTCAAGAACAACCATGATCGATTACATCGGCGTCCAGCCCGCGGGATGGCTTGTAAGGGACTGTGTATATTGGCGGGACGGGATTGGGACGACCTTTCGGGGACCGCAGCCCGCGCGGGACAGACCCGCGTAGCCCGCAAAAAATGGAGCCCGCTGCGGTCCGGGACGGGACGGCTTGTTTGACATCTCTAATGTCCATGTATGATGAAAGTTTCGTATAATCTTTCCTTTGTTAGTATGGAATTGTCTCTTTTTACCCAAAGGAGATAGAGCCTAAGAAGCTCGATGCATAGCCCTTTCGGAGTCGGTTGCAGGGCGGTTTTGATTCTCGGATGTAATCAAGAGGAATGAGAGCGGATGCTCGTGAACCGCAGAATGAGATCTTTCAGATTGTGGTGCGAGGAAACAAAGTTTATATTGGTTGTTCAGCGCCGGATCGTATAGCTTGGTTTTCACTATAAGGAAAGTACTTTTTGCAAAACCTGTTACGTTTACTTTCGAAAGTTACTTCGTTATGACATGATCTTACCTATACGAAGGATTTTTCGCATAAGTAACGGGCGATGGATTTAGTAAATCGACACGACGCATTGGGATAACAATGTTTCCGTAGATTTTTGAGAAACCTTTCCACTTATTTTTTGATTCTTCGGTGATAGTTTATTGGAGTCACTCACGGAGTTTTACCAAAGGTTATTTCACCGAAAGCAAGTCGCAAAACGTTTTAGCGGGTTTCTCAAGCGGAACGAATCACATGACCATTAATATGATCAGTCGGCGAGAAGGGAGGACGTGTTCTCTATAGCTGCTTTGTGTTCTCGATTTTTCTTTTTGATATTATTCCGTGACTCACTTGGTTCGACGGAAAATTAGAGCAATGCTTTGACACCTAAAGATTTCTCATATAATTTTTCGATTCTTATACGAAACTTGTTTTATCAAGTTGGAGAAGATCTTTATTACTTCGGCAAATCATCGCGTTTCACTCTTAGGTTTCGCAAAGGTTTTCTAACCGCATGATTGTGATAAGAGAGGCTATATAGTCCTCGAGATTATTTCCCAGATGGTTTGGATCAGTTCTTAGCGTTTAGACGAATCTTAGATTGTCGTTTGCTTTTGGGATGATTTTGACGAGGCATCGCATTGTCCGAATACTTTTCCTCTTATTTTTGTGAGAGTTTGCTTTATAGAAAGCATTATCTTTATGCGAGGAAAAATGTTCGATGAAAGAAAACAAATGAGTTTCCTTTGAAAGATTGGGATTATCGACAATCCGGGTCGATTAAAGACCATGGTGGATTGGTGATGACTTGGAGTATGTTTGTTTTACGAAAATTTCTAGGAACGAGTCGGTTTTAAGACGACGTCAGTGTCTTTAGTTTCTTCTTTCTTTGCGAAATGACATGAGTACGCTCGAATGCGTGACGATCGTTTCTCGGTTGTACGAGAGATTGGATCGGTTTGCGAGTTACGCCTGAATAGTTAGAGAACAACAGATCGAGATAGACATAAATTGCCAAGACTTAGCATGCTAGACTATCCCCCTAAATTCTAAGTTCTCTAGGTTTTACGGCAGTTTACAAAACGTTTTCATTCCTTGCCTACGAGAAATTAGAAGTCTAATAAAATTTTCAAATGAGACGTACCTTAGTTTCATCGATGATTTGGGACTGCCTCTTCTTCATTATTCTTGTGTCTTCTGACTTATTCTCGTACGAATCAGTTTTGACGAAATACCAACGAGAGTTTCAGAGTGAAGAAGGGATTTCAACATCCGAGTTTATGTTCTCGTTTCTTTGTACGGCTGGTTTTACTTAACTTACTAGGTGTGCTTTGTATATTGTTGAAAATTTCATCTGACGTTTATGATTAGATGTTCTCGACTCAACATGACAGAATTTTGTAAAACCGGATTGCGTTTAGAGAGTATAAATTTCTCATAGTTTAGGCAACTTTGGCGTTAAGTCTAGCATTGCCGTTTTAGATGGACGATTCGAACTTATACGAAAAAAACAAGTCTTTGAGATTTTTATCGTAAAATCTCAAAGGAAACTTCGATCGAGAAGAAACGGAAAATCTGCGCGATCGAGACTCGAGAGAGAAGCTCGAGGTCCAGATAGCCATTGAGCAGGGTGAACCCTCTCAGCTCGCCAACTGGCGAGCTGGTGCAGACGGTCTCGATTCGTCGAGCTAACTTGTTTTCGTCGTAAAATATCAACGGAAAGTACGATTGAGACGAAACAAAAAGCTGTACGATCGAGACCGGAGACAGAGAAGCCCAAGGAGTTGTCCAGCTCGCCATAGGGCGAACTGGACGAGCCCTCTCAGCTCGCCGTGTGCCGAGCTGGTGCGGACAGTCTCGATTCGTCTAGTTGACTTGTTTTCGTTGAAAAATCTTAACGGAAAGTCCGATTGAGACGAAACGAAAGGATGTACGATCGAGATTGGAAAGAGAAGCTCGAGGAGTGGTCCAACTTGCCATTGGGAGAGCTGGATGAGCCCTCTCAGCTCGCCACACGGCGAGCTGGTGCGGACAGTCTCGATTCGTCGAGTTGACTTGTTTTCGTAGTAAAATCTCAACGGAAAGTCCGATTGAGACGAAACGAAAAGCTGTACGATCGAGACTGGAAAGAAAAGCTCGAGGAGTGGTCCAGATCGCCATAGGTCGAACTGGACGAGCCCTCTCAGCTCGCCACACGGTGAGCTAGTGCGGACAGTCTCGATTCGTCGAGTTAACTTGTTTTCGTCGTAAAATCTCAACGGAAAGTCTGATTGAGACGAAATGAAAATCTGTACGATCGAGACTGGAGAGAGAAGCTCGAGGAGTGGTCCAGCTTGCCATAGGGCGAACTAGATAAGCCCTCTCAGCTCGCCACACGGCGAGCTGGTACGGACAGTCTCGATTCGTCGAGCTGACTTGTTTTCGTCATAAAATCTTAACGGAAAGTCCAATTGAGACGAAACAAAAAGTTGTAGGATCGATATTGGAGAGAGAAGCACGAGGAGTGGTCCAGCTTGTCATTGGGCAAGCTGGACGAGCCCTCTCAGCTCGCCACATTGCGAGCTGGTGATGACAGTCTCGATTCGTCGAGTTGACTTGTTTTCGTCGTAAAATCTTAATGGAAAGTCTGATTGAGACGAAACGAAAAGCTGTACGATCGAGACTGGAGTAGGATCAGGATTGGGATCCTGAGAGTCGTGTCCAACTAGCTATTGGGCGATTTGGATGTTGTGTTTCTAATTTTCTGTGCCACCTTTTTTCCCGCGAGTAACCTAGGGTTTTTCCCACAGTTTCTAGGAGAGCAAGTTTTATTTTTCCGAAGATTTTTTGGAAAACATCTTTTGGTCAAACCCTCACACGTTGAGATTTCTCCAATTTGTTTACGGTGTTTGATAGGTTTTATCGTTTCCCTTTTATTTTAGACGGAGAAATCGCGAGCTCGTTACGTGCTCTTTCTGTGTGGTAAAGAGTCGCGATTAGGTTTTCGATTTTGTTAAGTACTACCGCATTTGCGTGAGCGTTGGCTATAGGAGTACTCGCTGCTGGAGTTGTTTTACTAGAGTTTTTGCGCGTTGTGACTTTGTCTTTTATATATCCAGACATCGTTTTGATCAAGCATTTTGCGGCTATGAGTAAGAGTAATCCGACCCCCCCCCTCCTTCTAGTGCCAAACTGTGGAAACCGAAATTCACACCGTGGATTTCCGTAAAATAAGGAAACTTAGGAAAACCATAATTTTCCAGAGGAACTGGATCTCTGCGAGAGCCAACTACAAGAATCAAATAAATGCGGAAAATATGAAAAACATGATTAAACAAATTTATAAAGAAAGTCGATCTTATTTCGAATTCGCGTAAGAGCGTTGCGATCATTACAAGAGATTACAAAAGCTTTGGCCGCAGGGGCCATCGGCGAGTTACCAACATAAAACCCAAACCTAGTCGAGTCGCAGCTCGATAACAAAAGACGAAAAAGATAAGAAAAAGAGAGTGTGATTGATTTCGAACTGAACCTTATGAAAGGCTGTCTACGTACCCCTTTCGAGGATCAAATCGAACGTAGTTCAATTGATAGAGTTGGACAATAGATCGAACTGACTGAGTGAGTTCCGTCTAGTAATTGAGTGCCAATCATAGAAACCGAACTTGTCGAGAATAAAGCCTAGGCTTCTAAGTGCAGAGAGTTCTAAGTCTAGAAAAGTTGACATTTATCTTCTTTCTGCGAGTAAATCGTCAAACCGTCATTGTATATTTGGGCTGGACTTCGTCTAAAACCGTGGATAGGTTTTTATCGCGTTTAGGACTTTCCGAGCCGTTTTGTGATAAAAAACTATTTTACGGTTTTAGACGAGATCGTTTCCTGATACGATGCCAATTTTATAAGATTTCTCGAGTTAATCGTATATTTTGACAATGTACGATGTTCCGTCTAATCGTTGCCGTTTTATACGATCTTCCCGAATTCTTACGAAGAAGAAGACTTTTTCGATTTTTATCGTAAAACTCGAATGGTAAGACGGATCGAGATGAAACGATACACGTTTCGACCATGGTTCAGAGCACGATCGAATCGAAGGACATGCCTTACGGTGAGGATGCGGGGGAGCAAGGCTCAGGACGGTCAGCTCGACGTGCGGTGAGCGAACCGGGTTGTTTCAGCTCGCGTACGGCGAGCTGATTTGAGTGAACCAGCTTGCAGTACGGCGAGCTGGTTTGATCGAAAATGCTCGCGATTACGGTGGATGCGGTTTTTGCGGTTTTTCGCTTAACTTGGGCAGTCGTGTAATCAGAGATTGTTTCGTTCGTTTTTCCGAGATGACAATTTCCAAGTTTTGCGCGGATTTCCTTTGTTTAGAAAGTCCTTAGAATTTTATACAACAACTTTTCGTGTTTTATAAAACGTATTTTTATTTTTGCGGAAAGTTTTGCTCATTAAATACATCGTACCAATTTTGACCCCAACAGTTAGCCCCCCCAGTTCGTAAGAATCATAGAGTTCTTGCGAGCGGTTTGAACTTGTTCGGAAAGTTAGGTAGAATTAGGCGGAACTTTAATGGCCAAAAGTCTAAAGGTGAATAGTAAAGATTTTTTCAAAAAAGATTAGGGCTGCTCCTTGTGAAGGCTGCCTACATACCCTATTGAAGGGATCAAGCCTTTCGTAGTTGGTTGTGGAGTTAAGGTTCGTATGACCTGTTTCCCAGTGAGACTTTTACAGTCTAGTTATTTGTATTGGACCTTTGTCGGCCTTGAGACTAGCTTAGTACGGTGTTTGCTCTGGCCGAGTGTGGCCGTTATAGTTTTCGGACTGGTTGTGTGTGGCTCTGAGTCCCTGCCTCTTTGCGGCTTTATAGCGTTTTAGGACTTTCCGAGTCGTTTTGCGATAAAAACCGTTTTACGATTTTAGACGAGATCGTTTCCTGATACGATTTTAGACGAGATCGTTTTCTGATATGGCGAGCTGATTCGATCGAACCTGCTTGTTTGCGATTATGGCGGATGCGATTTTTGCGGTTTTTCGTTTAACTTGGGGATATCGTGTAATCAGAGATTGTTTCGTTCGTTTTTCCGAGATGACAGTTTCCAAATTTCGCGCAGATTTCCTTTGTTCGGAAAGTCCTTAGAATTTTATAAAACAACTTCTCGTGTTTTATAAAACATATTTTTATTTCTGCGGAAAGTTTTGGTCATTGATTCCGTCATACCAATTTTGACCCCAATATTTTCCTCGTGACTTGTTCCAATTATATATTCCGTTTTTGTTGAAAAAACACTAAATAAGGTTGCATACTTGCATGCGATATGGAAGTCCTTATATATAGAAGGTGACACTTTCAAAGCTCATTAGCAATCCACGACAATCATTAATCGACGAAAAAATGCAGGTTCGATTCTATATCGTTGCTTAGTATATTTTTTCTCAACTGGAAGATCGAAAGGTTTTGCGAATGTTTTCTTATACGTACAACATAGCAATATATGAAACGTCATTTGACTAATTTCTTGTCTTAATTAACTGCTGATTATGTTACTACTTTTCCTAATAGAAAGTTGTACTGAAATTGGAAGTTAATTGTGAAAGAACAAAACAAAAAGCTATGTCAACAGTCTGTTGTCTATCAGGTACACGAACACTCAACAATTATTAATCTATAGTTTATGTTACGTTAAGCCTCAAATTTCTATTGATTAACTGATTGAGTCTTAGCTATATTTTGATTTGAAATTAAGGAGTCCAGTCGGTGGACGTGAAGGAAGGTAAATTAACGGTGATCGGTGAGATTGATGCTTTTATAATTGTGAAGAAATTGAAGAAGATATGTTATACCGAGATTATCACAGTTGGACCGGCTAAAGAACCGGAGAAGAAGAACCCTGAGCCGGAGCCGAAACCACCACCACCAGTAATTTGTCAATATATTCCCCCATGTCCTCCACCTTACTATCATAATTTCAACGGATGTGGCGATGAAAATCTACATGGTTGTGTTATCTCATAAAAACATCCATGTGTGTGTTCTTTAGTCGAAAAAACATCCATGTGTATCTCATAAAAACAAAAAACAAAAACAAAAACAAAAAACAAAAGATTGGACCAAGTTTGTACCCAGTTCTACACTTATAGTATTAATCTGTGATCAGTTTCATTGTAGTCACTGGTTTTGATCTGTTGTAGTAATGCTCCAAAATCTCAAGATAGTTTCCAAGATATAAGTAGAGAAAAGAAAATCAAATAATAGTCATATCTTCATATACCAACCATCTTTTTATAAATCCATACTCATTCATGACTATAAATATTTACAACATATATAAATTTTTCACGACTATAAATATTTACAATATATATATATATATAATAAAAATGATTAAGAAGATATAATTTTTAATTGATCAATGGAATACCCATCGAATAAATACAATACAACTGAAACTAATCTGAACATGTCCATATTGGGTCGGATCTGGTTCAGGTATTCAATATTAAAAATCGCATGCCTAATTTTTAAGATTAACCAGGTAGGTCTCTTGAGGGTCTTACGGGATCTTGGTTTCCGGTTGTTAGAGATGGATTACATCCCTCGATAGACCCATCGAATAAATGAACCTCGTCCCAATGACTAAAAGTTGGCTAGGGCTTTTACGCTGACTTAAGGACACAATGGGAAGATTTATCAGAGATAAAAGGACATGAGTGGCCGCATGGACAATCACTTAGAAGACACACACAAGAACTAGGATTTACATAATTCTCATTGTTTTTGCCGAGTTATTATTTATGCCACAAACTCATTCAATCTCTTTCTAATCGCTTTGTGATCATTCAATAAAAGTATTTACATCAACCCATATCGAATTCGTGTTTCCTTATAATACTATGCCAAATTCATATTAAACAATTGACGCTGAAAGTGGGGAGTTATTGAAAGTTACGCCAAGAGAAGATCACCATGATTGCAGACGATTTCACCAGCACAGGAACCAACCTGTTGGGAACTGAGATAGCCTCCATGATGCAGATGATGACATACATGATGGAATGCTGCGCCAAGAAAGATGAAGCTAGCAAGGAGACTAACAAACATCTTGACCTAATATCCGCCGCTCTCACGCCGCCTGCAGCTACCGACAATGAACAAACGCCAAGGAGGTTTCTCTTCCCTTTTTCGGCACATGGATTTGGTCATACAACTGTACGAAAAAATGCCGACTTGCAAAGCTCAATGTAAGCCATCTCGGGTCCCAGAATTGAGCGAGAATTTTTTGTAACCTAAGAAACCCCCTTTACAAAAAAAATTATAGACGTGAAGATTCATCGAACTAAGAAATTCTAGATCCCATCCTTCTCGGGAGACTCCAATCCAAGCGATCACGTTACGGCTTTCAACATATCCATGAGACGATAGCGCTTCAATGCGAGGAGATGGACAGTTGATAATGCCAGCTATTTTTGGTCTCGACTGGCCGACCTTAACTTAGTTTTATAGGCTTTCTGAGAGCCCCGTTAGATGTTTTCAAAACTTATCAACTCAGTTCCTGAAACATTACATGATGTTTATCCGACAAGGAGCCTCCGCAGCAGATTTATGGACGATGTCCCAAGGTCCGAGAGAAATTAAAAGCGGTCTCCAGAGTAAACGTTTGATATGATACCACTGTTGAAGTGCTGCACAACACATATTGGATTAATTCCAAGTTTCAAGGCGACGTCTACTTCAACCCGACTATAACTCTGCATGATGCTCTCCACCGTGCACTGAGCTTCTTCACAATGGAGGAAGACAAACAAGCCTTCTTACTCAAGCACACTGCAATGAAACAGGTAGCCAACAAATCAACAGAGACCTACCAAGAACCAAGACAGAACTCTGCTAATCCTAGGCTAGAAAAAATAACAGCCCGGCCTATTCTGTTGGCGGGGATGGAAAAGTCTATGAAACGACTCTGCCGGAGTTGTATGGGAAAGAGGAGTACATGGACCGCCGACCTCAGTGTTTTATGGAAGCAAATTCTGCTACTATAAAGTGAAAGGACACTATACTGAAGATTGCAAGCAGCTTCAAGAGTTGCTGATGGAAGCATTCAGCACAAGGAAAGTGGTACCAAACCTGCCAAAGCAGAGAACTGCTAAGAGCAATACAAGTTGGTTCATAATAATGTACTGTTGGTGCAAGTCTAAGAAGGAGCTGTTGAATTTTGGAGTTTAAGTCATGTTGATTTGGTCGTTGAAAGTTGTTTGAGTCGTGTTTTATGTTTAGTTTTGTCCGAGTATTTAGCGTCAAGTTTTTTAGTGATGTAGTTGCTTCTTTTTAGGATCTTATTGTTTCTGTAAGGCTATATATAGCCATTGTCTCAGTTCAATGAAAAGGTTAGCGTATTATTCAGAAAACACAGAGCATTTGATCTAATAAAGTGGTATCAGAGCTCTGTTTTCAAAAGAAAGATGGGAGATGACAAGATGAAGTTACCGCAATTTGATGGACAATTGGGATCACAGAGTGAAGTTATGGAGAACTTCTTCAGGGCAAAGGGTTTGTGGAGAATAGTCGAGACTGAATACAAGGAGCTTGCAATCACAACAATGCTGACAGCAGATCAAAGACTCCAACTCGACAACGCCAAAACCAATGACCACAAGGTGAAACATTATCTCTACCAATCCATTGATAGGGTGACGTTCGAGTAGATCTTGGACAGGAGGACCTCTAAGATCATCTTGGACTCGATAAAGGAAAGTATGGTAGCAATGCTCGAGTGAAGAGATCGCTTCTACAGAAGTTGAGAAGAGACTTTGAAGTTTTGGAGATGAAAGAAACTGAAAGTGTCGAAGAATACTTTACTCGTGTGCTAAGAGATCACAAATCAAATGAGAAGCAATAGAGAGATCATGTCAGACTCCAAGGTGGTTGAGAAGATTCTCAGAACTCTCAGTGAGAAGTTCATGTATGTGGTGGTATCCATTGAAGAGTCTAAAGACATTGAGACCATCTCCGTGGACGAACTACAAAGCTATCTGGTGGTTCATGAGCAAAAGTTCAAGAAGACAGAGAAAAGTGATGATCAAATGCTGAAGATCACACATGGAAAAGGAATAGGATCTAAAGGCAGAGGCTTCCCAGGGAGAGGCATGGGACATGGTGGAGGCAGGAGCTTTTTCAATAAGAGCACAGTGGAATGCTACAAGTGCCACAAACTTGGACATTTCCAAAAAGAATGTCCAAAATGGGAGAAAGAAGCGAACTATACAGACCTGGAAGAAAGTGAAGAACTATTATTAATGGCGTTAATTGAAGAGGATGATACTCATGAGTTGCAAACACAAGAAGAGACGAACCAAGTGACATGGAACTCACTAATGGCCAGCTCAGAGAATCAAGGAGACATGAGGAAGAGAGTGTGGTTTCTAGACTCGGGATGCTCAAATCATATGAGTGGATACAAAGGGTTATTCTCAAAGCTGGATGAAAGCTTCAGACACTCTGTGAAGCTAGGCAACAACAAGAAGATGGAAGTTGTTGGAAAAGAAAACATGAAGCTGGTGTTGAATGGAGCACGCTACATGATAAGCGATGTCTACTATGTACCAAAACACAGAAACAATCTCCTGAGCCTTCGACAACTTCAAGAGAAGCGAATAACAATCATCATACAAAAGGGAGCTTGCAAAATCTACCATGAGGAAAGGGGTCTGATAGCTGAAAGCATGATGAGTGCCAACCGCATGTTCATCTTGATTGACCAAGGAAGATATGATTCAGGAAAAAGTGATCAACGATGCTTGAAGACAACCTCAGAGGATGTGCCAAGACTATGGCATGAAAGATACGGTCATCTCAATCATCATGGGATGAAAACATTACAGAGCAAGGACATGGTAAGAGGTTTACCTGACTTTAGAGTTCAAAGTTTCACATGCTCTGATTGTTTGATGGGGAAAAAACCAAGTAAGGTCATACCTAAGAAGAGCACTTGGAGAGCTAAGGAGGTATTGGAGCTAATCCATTCAGATATATGTGGTCCTATCAGTCCCACATCAAACAGTGGAATGAGGTACATCTGATTCTTCATAGATGACTACAGTAGAAAGGCTTGGGTGTCACTACAAGAAAACACGTCCTTTACTAGGACGGGTTTTCCTCGTTATTTCCTAGTAAATGGCCCTTTACTAGGAAATAGCGAGGAAACGTGTTTCGTCGAAAGACGTTCATCGTAAAGGCTATTTTCCTCGTAAAGGCCTAGCTAATTTACGAGGAAAGTTTTCCTCGTAAAGCCGTGGAAAACATTTCCTCGTAAGC